CAAAGTTTCCCCAAATCGGTTCTTCCAGGTTGGAGTCTACCGTGCGGGCACATGGGGAAGCGTCCTGGGGGAGAAGACTGTGTGTGCGCAGGCAGAAGGGGGCCCGGGAGGGGCCAGTCTCCGCGCACTTGGGGGGGAGCCTCTCCCCAGCACCCGGGCACCGGGGAGCGTGCACACCACGGGGAAGGGCCTAGCCCAGCGCCCCAGCGGGAAGCTTCGGGTACACAGGGTTCCAGCCCGCGTGCGAAGGGGCGGGGTTCCTGCCAGAGCTGGCGATAGGTGCGCATGGGCGCAGGGGCCAAGGCTGTGTGTTCGGCTGTTACTGGGGAGGGAGAGGTGGAGTTCTGGCCCCTAGCAAACGGGGGTGGGGGCATTTGTGTACAAGATGGGGTCCCAGCCGCAGAGCAGAAAGGGAGAGGCTGTGTGCACATGGCAGCATTCCAACCCAGGGCAGGCAGGACTGTGGGCTATGCTCAAGGGTGCGGTGTCTTCCACAAGGCTCCTCGAGTGCCCCCACCCCAACGGCTTAGGCAGCCTTCAGGGCTGCGTCGGCCCCCTCCCACCCCCTTCCTCCGGAGGCCCCTACGCCTGTTCCAGCCGTGGCTTGTACACATTTTCCGATTTCCTGTGAACGTCCGCCCAGCAGGCAGCTGGGTGACTCAGGACCCCGGTGGCCGGGCCCCCCGCTCCATGGGATCTTTGTTTGCTCAGGCCTTTGGCTCTGGCCTTCTGGCCTAGGGCCCTCAAAGGATTTCCTGAGCCCCGCCCCTGCCCCTGCCCTCTGACAGGCGGGCCAGCAGGCCAGTGGAGGGGGGGATGGAGGGTCCCTGAGGAGTAGCCACCCCTTCCACCGGGCTCAGGAGATGGATTGCAGAGAGGTAAGGGGGAGGCCCTGCCAGAGTCCCTGTGAGGGGGCATCATGGGCTGCCCTGGGCTGCGGTCAGCTTTGGCACTGGTGGGTTGAAATGTCGGCCTCTGGGAAGGAGGTTTTCCTCCTCTGTTCCAACCTGGGGTGAAGCGGTGAAAAGCCTACTTCCTCCCAGGGGCGGAGCCGGGAGTGGGTCCCGGAGACCTCCTGAGCCCCTCTGTGTGCCTCTGCTTTGCCACCTGAGGCACTGGGGCGTCAGGGGGACAACCCTGGCCTCTATTCAGGCCTCCAGCTGCCCTCTGTGTGTGACCTTGGGTGAATCCCCAGCTTCATTTCTGGTCCCAAATCTTAGCCTGAATCCCAGCCTAAAAGCAGTCTGATTAAGCATGGCTGGCGGGGAGGGGCTGGGGCCCAAGAGGTGGTGGTGTCACCTTCTCTGTGTTGTGACCTTGGACAAGTTACTTAACCTCTTTGGGTCTCAGCTTCCTTATTGCTAACATGGGGATAAAACTGGCACCTACCTCATGGGGTGGTTGTGCGGACTGACAGGTTAACGTATGGCAAGCTCTTAGAACAGAACCTGGCACTCAGTGCACAGCAGAAATGTAACAATTTTTCCCCTGACCTTTCTCTCATGGCAGAGGACAGGAGCAAGGGCTGGGTAAATAGCCTCGAGCTTTCCATCTGGCTTAGGGTCCTAGCTCTGAGGTCGGAGATGCTTCCCAAACCCCTGTGTCAGTCCTGGGTGCGGTCTACGCCTCCCTCCCCTCTACCTGTGGTGAGCGGGGAATGTGGTGGCGGGACGAGTGGGACGACTGACTCCTCTGCCATTCCACAGCCTGGGGCGGGCCAGCGGCCCCCTGAGGATGAGAAAGAGGTGATTCGCCGGGCCATCCAGAAGGAGCTAAAAATCAAGGAGGGTGTGGAGAACCTGCGGCGGGTGGCCACAGACCGCCGGCAGCTGGGCCATGTGCAGCAGCTGCTGCGGTCCTCCAACCGCCGCCTGGAGCAGCTGCATGGAGAGCTGCGGGAGCTGCATGCCCGCATCCTGCTGCCCGGCCCCGGGCCCAGCCCTGGGCTCAGCCCTGGGCCCAGCCCGGCTGGTGAGTGAGGGGTCGGAGCAGCCACCCTGGAGCAGGAGGCCAGGCCCACCCAGCTCCTGGGCCTTGGCCACTCTCAGAGCCTCGCAGGTTGCCCCTGCCCAGGAGGGGAGAGGAGGAGAGAGCTAGGCCATAGGGGGCTCTTGACTCTGGGTGAGGGGTACACGTGCCCCATACTCTGTGCACACAGAACCTGTGGCCCCAGGACCCCGGCCACCAGCAGAGCAGCCAAGGGCTGGGCACCTGGAGGCCCTCCAGAGGCAGCTGCAGGTGGAGCTGAAGGTAAAGCAGGGGGCCGAGAACATGACCCACACGTACGCCAATGGCACCCCCAAGGTAAGGCTCCCAGGGTCTGAAGGGGAGAGATGTGGCTCTCAGATGATCAGGGAGGTGCTGCTCTAGTCCCTGTTCTTTTTTTTAAGTTTTTATTTTTATTTTTTAAAGATTTTATTTTATTTTTTTTTCCTTTTTGTCCCAAAAGGCCCCCGGTACACAGTTGTGTATTCTTAGTTGTGGGTCTTTCTAGTTGTGGCATGTGGGACGCTGCCTCAGTGTGGTCTATTGAGCAGTGCCATGTCCGCGCCCAGGATTCGAACCGACGAAACACTGGGCCGCCTGCAGCAGAGCGCGTGAACTTAACCACTCGGCCACGGGGCCAGCCCCTCCAGCCCCTGTTCTGATGGGGATGTGCAACTCAGCCACTGACTCTAGAAGGGAGACACAAGCCTAACCCTTCGTCTGATGGGGGAGCCCCAAATCCCAGCTTGGCAGGGAAGGCGTGGCTCAAACTCCTAGTCTAACAGAGAGGGCACAACGCTGGTCTAATGGGGAGTCCCAGGCCCAGTCCCAACTCCCAGCATGATCTTGGGAGCTCGGCCCTGATATGATGGAGGAGGCTTGACCTCATGCCATGTCTGGTCTGATGGGGGAGCCTCTGCCCCAGACTGAGTCTAACAAAGGAGGCTGAGCTTCCACCCTGGTGTGACAAGGGAGGCTTGGCTCCAGGCCCTGGTCTGACAGGGGAGGCTCTGGGCTAGCTCTGTCTGATGGGGCGTGTGTCCTCACCCCATAGGAGAGGAAGCTCCTGGCAGCTGCCCAGCAGATGCTGCGGGATAGCCAGCTGAAGGTGGCCCTGCTGCGAATGAAGATCAGCAGCTTGGAGGCCAGTGGGTCCCCTGAACCAGGTGAGGCCTTGAGAAGTGGGGATAGGCAGGGCAGAGCAGGGCATGGGGCTGAGGGCTGACCCCTCCCCTCAGGTCCTGAGCTGCTGGCAGAGGAGTTGAGGCATCGATTACACATT